TAATAATAAATAATATATAGCTAGAAAGGTTTTAAAGCGTTGAATATGAATATAAATAAATAAATAAATAAACCCTAATAATATATATTTATATTTATATATTATCATAATTAATTATAATTATATATTTTGTTTGTTTTACCTTCAGTCGTCGTCCTTCAAGATGCAGATTTATTAACTGAAGCAGCACAGCATGCGCTGCGTCGGTCCTTAGAAAGTGCTGTCGGTGCGCTGCAGTTCTTGCTGCTTGCAGCCAACACAACTCGTCTCACACCCCCCCTCAAATCCAGGTCAGCAGCAGCAAGTGCAGCAGCAGCAGCAAGTGCAGCAGCAGATGCTGCTGCTGCAGCAATGGCAGCAGCAGAAGGAATATTTGCGTTAGCAGCAAAAGTCGCAGCAGCAGCAGCAGCAGCAGCAGGAGCAATATTTGCACATCAACAGAATCCGCATTAGCAGCAGCATTAGAAGCAGCACATGATGCAGCAGCAGCAGCAGCAGCAACAGCAGCAGCAGCAGCAGAATGTGTTATACTTTTTTGACAGGTGCTTGGGGATTCGCGTGCCGCTGCCTCCAACCCGCGATGTCGTCGCAGTGCTGCGCAGCACCGCACTAAAAGAAGAAACACCAGTAAACCCTAAACCCTAAACCCTAAACCCTAAACCCTAAAGAACTGTAAACCCTAAAGAGTTAAGAACTGTAAACCCTAAACCCTCAAGTACTGCTATCCCTGTACAACAGGAAACCCTAAACCCTAAACAACTAGACACCCTAAACCCTTAGCAACTGTAAACCCTAGAATTAGCAAACCCTAAACCCTCCTTACTCTATGCCCTAGGCAGCAAACCCTAAACCCTAAACCCTGGCGCGCCTGCTAAAACCCTAAAGCAGCAACAGAGTCGCAGTCATTATCACCCTCACCTTCTGTTGCTGTTTTCTGCTGCTGCTCTTGTTCTTTGCTGCTGCTGCTATTGCTGCTGCTGCTCTTGCTGCTGCTGCTGCTGCTGCTGCAGGAGGAGCTGCTCCCCGACTCAATGCTGCAGCAAGTCTGCTTGCACAGCGGACGAAACATGCGTCGTTCGCTGCTGGCATTGCAGTGTATCTTGACGTCTAACTTTGCTGCAGCAGCAGGAGGAGGAGCAGCAGCAGCAGCAGCAACAATGCATCGTTTGCTGCAGTACGGCGACCCTAACTGCCCCTTCCCTGCAGCTTGGGAGGCTGTAGCAGACGAAATTGCTGCTAAACTTGCGAGAGCTCCGAGTGTACGTACACTACAAGAGTTAAGAGGGTGTATGTATGAGCTTCTTGCTGCTCTCATCCCCCCCGATCTGCTGCTGCTGCGCATTATTAAATCTCTCTTCTTTTTAAAGCCAGGGGATCTTCCTGCTGATTCTTCAGAAGCGCTGCTGTCCAGCAGCAGCAAGACAACAGCAAACAGCAGCAGCAGCAGCAGCAGGGCTGCAGCAGCAGCGAAATACATGCAACAGCGCAGCAGGAGGCTGCTGCTGCTTGAAGTTGTTAATGATGCTGCTGTTGCTGCTGTGGGGCTGCAGCGAGGCAGCAAACCTATCTTTCATCTTGAAGCATTTGCTGCATCAGCAATGAGGCGCTTCAAAGCCTACGCTGAGGCGCAAACCCTAAACCCTAAACCCTAAACCCTCGTTGAAGGGGAGAACCCTCAACTTGCATCTGCATTTTGTTGTATATTTTACTCTTTACTTTATCGTAATTATATACTTCTTATTTGTTATATATTGTTTATTATATATTATTATATATTATTTATTATATATTATTTATTATATATTATTTATTTTATGTATTTCGATATACATCACTTAGACGCAAAAAGAAAACAGCTTTCTAACAATTAGGGTTTAGGGTTTAGGGTTTAGGGTTTCAGTGCTGGTGGGGTCAGCAGCACCAAGAAACATCTACGCAGCATCCCCCTTCTCTTCCTGCTGCTGCTGCTGCTGTGTTGAGCGGCTAGCTGTCATCGCCGCCGCAGCAGCAGCAGCAGCTGCTGGTGCTGTTTCTGCTTCTTCTGTTGCTGCTGTTGCTGCTGCTGCAGCAACACCCGACGACATTGGGGCTGCGTTTCTGCAGCCTGAAGGGAGCGCAGCTAGCTACTAGCTAGCTAGCTAGCTACTATGTCGATGCCCAGCTAGCTAGCAAACGAGCTAGCTAGCTAGCTAACTAACTATATAACTGTCTAGCTAGCTAGCTATATAACTGTGAAGCTAATTGCTATAAAACTGTCTAGCTAGCTAGCTATATACCCAGCTAGCTAGCTTTATACCCAGCTAGCTAGCTACGTACCCAGCTAGCTATATACCCAGCTAGCTAGCTAGCTAGCTAGTTTGGTTGAGCGCATGCTGGAGCTGCTGCGGCGTCATGAGAGCCTGAAGAGAAGGAAGAGGCACCCCCTCTAAGACTTTCAATGTTGCACCTCCGCCAGTAGAGATATGAGTGAGCTGCAGATTAGGGTTTTGCTGCTGCAGCA